AAAAAAAAAAAAAAAAAAAAAAAAAGATTAAATTGAATTTTTTTAACAATATGAAAGTCTTTGCCATCACTTTTAATCAGTTTAATGCATCCTTGATAAATAAAACTATTCTTAAAAAATAAAATAAATACAATAAAAAAAAATCTTACAGACCCTCAAATTTTGTACGATAGTGTGTATATAAATATATATTATTTATCCACCTCTTTCCCCTTTGAGGACGTCCCCAAAATGAGTTTTGTCCGATTTAACTACATTCCGGGGACATTTCTCTGCAAATTTGTCCCTAAAGTATAGCTAGGTATAGCTAATAAATAATAAGGTTTTTTTTTTTTTTTTTTTTTTGAGTGTACTGTCCACTTAAACTATGTGTAGGCCATTTGTGAGGTAAAAAATGAAAACACTATAATTCTGTGGTGCTTTCAACATTGCTGTTAGTATCAGCCAAAGTTGTTAGTTTGGTGTGGATACATGAGGAATGTGGAGTTTTGATTGGTACTTGAGATCAATAATCTGATGTTTTGAAATGGAATACTTAATATTGGGGTGGAAATCGATTACATTTAATTAGATTTGCAGTGCATACCAGAATAGTTTTATCTTTTTGATAAAAGATTATAAAGAGAAACTTAAAACAAACAAAAAAAAACATTAACTATGCACAGTAAGACTGTGTATTGAAAAATACACATTTTTATTTCATTTTGATACTATTACGCTCCTGATTAATGTTTAAGTATGTAGCGTCTGGACCAATCAAACACACAATTTTTCATTTGATTTAACAAATCAGTTATTCATTAGATTAACAAATCGTCACAGTCCCCTAAAAAAGAAAGATTCATAAAAAATCACAGACTCTTTTTTTTTTTTTACTGTGTTATGGCTTTGTCTGGTTCACACACACAGTTTTCACACACTGAACCTTTTACTTAAAAGCAATCTAAAACAAAATCTGCAAATATAATAATGTGTGAATGTACCCTTTTGATGGAATTCAAATTAAATGTCAAGGCTGCCACTCACCGGCACCCCTTCAGGTTTGTCTCAAAGCCCTAAAGGTCATAGGTCACGATCAATACTCTTATGTGACTGTGGCACATTATCATTGAACGGTTGCTATGTTATATGATATTATCACTAAAGTTTATGTAAGTGTGATTTAGTGGTCAACATGTGAGAATTTGAACATCTTGGAAATTGTTTCCTCCCATCTGCCTCACCTGATACAAAGAGAGAGAGAGAGAGAGAGAGAGAGAGAGAGATAATTAACAGATGTATTCTTTTTTTTATTTTTTTGGCCTTGAAATAGAAGTATGAAAAATAATGAGAGAAAGAAAGAGATGGCTTTCCAAGCCTCAGGCACAGCTAGCAGACCTTGTGTGTGGGTGTAGAGAAATATTTATGATGTGGGTATGGTGACCTTAATTAGCAGAGATTGCATTAGAGAATAGACTTGTGTTAATAAAACGAGGTGACTTGGGTTTTGCTCTGTCGTGTCCCGCTCTCTCCCTCTTCGTCTTACCACCTGTGACATCACAGCATGGAGAACGAAAATCATCTCTCTTACTGCCGAGGGATGATTAGCAGTAAAGAAATGAAAACCTAAGCAAGAAGACCTGCTAATGCTTGCATTAGCCTTTTATGTTGATTCTATACCAGTTTTGTTTCTTCTCAAATACTTACAACACACTCTTGTAAGAAAACGTCACTATAGCAACTTTATCCTGCTCCTCTAAAACATCACTCTTGTGCCGTATTCAACGTATTTGTGAAGCCATATCATAGCTTTATTTGAGGATCAAACTCAAATTAAATTCATAATTAACTGAAAATCCCCCTAGCACTTGAATCTCAGTTGCAGATAGCACTTATTGAAACACTGAAAACCATTAAATTGCATTCAATGATGTCAAAAGAAGTTGTTTCTAGAATATCTGTGATCTGATTCATCTTTTTGAATTTGATTTGTGAATTCTGGCGGTTTTCAGCAAATAACTTAAATACAATTTCAAAATATTTGGAATAAAGATGTATGGGCTAGTTTGGCGATTTTGTTTTATGTTTTTTTATAATTTTTGTAATTTAGTAGGTTTAGGGTCTCAAATATTTGTTTAATAGTATAGTTATATTAGTAAGTATATTAAAATTACGGTGACTGTACATTTATCCACCTTATTTGATTTTTTTGTTTATTAATATAATTATAATAAAGAAATATTAATATATTTATAAACTAATTAAAATAAATATTTTAAAGCTGCTTATGTTTTGCATCATTCGCACACACATGCTAATATGTGAATAATACCTTGCCAAGATTATCAGAATCCACTGAATAGATTTGACAATGTCGCTATTATATGAGTACTATAGCCATTATAAGAAGGAAACGGAACGTGGGTCTCAGATCAATGATGAAAGCCAACTTCTGAATGGCTGGCAGACAGTGGATTGTAATAAAAGTATGTTCCTCACCTGCCCCTGATCACCGGAAGGATTTATGCATCATCAAATAGCTTTATACCGCCGCTGCAATCTGACTTTTACACATTCTTTAATGGATGGCCTTCCCATAATTCCCTTGTGCTTATTAACAGTCCCCTCACTACAGTATGCCTTAAAGGTGACATATCATGAAAATGATGGTTTTAAGTGCTATAATCAGGTCCCCGGTGCATCTACCGACCAAGGAAACGTGAAAAAGATTAACCCAGTAACTTTGATTTGGTAAGCCTTTTTCTGCAAGCATCCGAGAAAACAAGCGGGTCTGATTTCGCTCCCCTAGTGACGTTGCAAAGGGATCTCATTATAATATTACAGCCCCTTAATCTGTAAGTTTCCACACAAGGAGAGTAACTTTGTTTTGGTAAGCCATTTTCTGCAAGCATCCGAGAAAACAAGCGGGTCTGATTTCGCTCCCCTAGTGACGTTGCAAAGGGATCTCATTATAATATTACAGCCCCTTAATCTGTAAGTTTCCACACAAGGAGCCATCATTTGATTTCGCAAGCGACAACGGTGTACCAGTTCTAATGCCATGGCGAAAGTTTGAGCAAAACATGCTAACTGTTCTGTCTTTGGCTGCACGGACGAGCACAGAACACTATTTAGAGTCCCAGCCTCTTCAGCTCGATAAACATGATAATCAGAACCAAGACAGATGTTTTTTAGCAGGTCCGAGCTGTAATGACGCAGCTCTATTCTGGAAGAGGGGGCGGGGAGCAGCAGCTCATTTGCATTTAAAGAAACAGACCCGAAAAACAGCATGTTTCTGCTTCCACTCAAAATAGGCATTTTCAAAATGTGCTGATCAAAACATAGACATGCTTCTATTCACTAAAACACAGGTTATAAAGAGTCCCATTTAAGGCGAGATGAAGAATACGTTTACAGTTTATAGAAGTAAGAAAGGCTGATTGGAAGGAGAAGGCCGCAAGG